TTGGTTTTCAATAGTTGAATGTCTAATTAAATTGATGATTGTCTTTCACTGTAAATTCGTTGAGTCACTGAATTTAGGCTGAATTTAATCAACAGAGGTGATGTACTGAACAAAACGGTGATCTTACAAAGACCGGTGATGTACTTGATTACTAGTGAGCTAGGTGAGGTTCAAAGAGCTACTGTACTCGGTGAGGTGCGATATAAAACTTGTACAGGTGATTTGCCCGAGATAAACTTGTACGGTGAGAGGCTAAGCCTAAACTGATTCGCGCGTGTTTCGGTGACTTATGACTGATGACCCGAAGGGTCCCGGAGATTTTCGAAGCAGGCCGACGGTCGACCAGAATGTTCTGGAATTTTAGTTGCATTTCAAACAATGTAATTACAAAAATTTCGCTGTCTCCCTTAGATTTAGAAATATTCTTGAAAAATTCAACTGGTAGATAAGTCGACTTAAACCGTTTTACCACTTCGCTACGGAATTGAACTGAATTTTACGGTTCTAATTAATTTTTCCATGAAATTCTGAATTTTCAATAAAAATATGATAAAAATTTCCAAAAAGTGTACCGCAAAATTTCAGCCAGGAATCGTTAACACTGTAACTCGAGTTTTCCAGTATTTTTTCCTAAAATTCTGTCATTGTCTTCGAAAATGAAATTGAAAGTAAAAAAATTCCCTGCTCCCAACTGCCATAAATTGAAATTGATCCTTCAAAATACTGATGAAACAGGGGCGCTCTCCCACGATCATCAAGCCCAACAAAATTATACGTGGATTATATGGCTGGTGAGGGGTCTGGTGCAATGAATTTTACAGAGTCCAAGGGGTGAGAAGAGAGAGATCGTGTACAATTCAACCCCTCCCAGTGTGTTTACTCGACTCTATCCCGGTAGTTAGACGTCTGCGGTCTTGCCAGGCATTCCAAACCGCCCCCTTCCACCCCCTTAACCCGTGCTCTCACCTATCCCCAGAACTGTTATATCGCCAACTCGACGCCAAGCCATTCCCTATCCATCATCCGCACATTTCCCAACCCCATAACACTGGGTTTGCGCTTTCTCTACCGGGTTATTTCCTCCCCGCCCTTCGCCCCCTTGTCTCCTCTCCCCGTTGTAGTACTTCTGGACACTGGACGAGCGCATACAAACTGGCGACTGCAACCATGCGCGTCCCACCGCGTCCATGATCTATACATCCTGTGCCCCGGTTTTACCCACCAAACACACATACACACGACTTGGTAGTCAACTTCATACTGCATTTCCATCCAAATGCTCCCCTCGAAATTCTCTGTGCACACACCAAGATGAACATTTACCTCATCTGTGTGTCTCAATTAACTAGCGCTCTCATTTTACACCCTGATGATCAGGCTCACCTTTGACCTGGTTCAACATCATTTGACTCCTTTGTTTCAGAAAAGGGGCAGCATGGGGCTTTTGACGGATTAGGTTGCAACGGCGGTGAAAATCAATTTTTTATCTCCGTTCTTGTTTTGAAGTTTTTGGGTGAGGATGAAAGAGGAGTAACTAACTCTTGCATTTCAATTTAAATTATTTTGTAGTCGATGGGGATTTGATAGGCAGACATTGTGAGAAATTTCTTGACATTTGCACGGAGAGAAATATTCAATAAAAATTACGCATCTTTTCCGTAATTCCGGAGCGAAATGTGGTTGTAGGAAATTTTACGGAACTGTCACGGAATTTTTCCAGAGCGTTCCGTCATTTTTCACAGAAGATTTAGATAAAAATTACGAACGTGAAAAATTACGATACCGTCACTTAAATTTTCTGAGTCGATTTCGTAATCGGTGAGTGAATCGTGAGTTTCGTAATTTTTACTGAACATTTCTCTCCGTGCAGAAACTGCATTTCATTTTGGTATTTCGTGAATTTGAATTCTATTCAAGGAGTTTCATTATTAAAAATTCACGATTTAATGAGAGAAACAATGAAAATTGTAAATTTCAGGGGAAAGGCATAATCACCTTTGACCTCCAGAATAATTCCCCAGCCTCCTGACTCGATGCAAGGACCTTTAGTCGGCATATTATTCCTTGAATTGAATTCATGAAAACTGGTGTATTCGTCTCCGCATTCCTCTCCAGTGAAACTTTTCCTTGATTCAGATGAGCAAAACCCCTCGTCCTTCGTTGATGCGGCTCGAGTTGGAGCGCTAATCAAGGGCAAATTCCCACATGAAACATTCATTGCATCTGATTTTGAAAAAAAAACCTGAGGACAGCTCCGAGACGACAAAATTAACGATTTCCTGATTGGAATTATCCCCTGTTGTTCAATTTTAGCAAATGAATTGTTTCAATTCACTTTCAGGTTGCTAATTCTACGAAAAAAATCTCCCTTGCAATTCCAATAAAGCATCCATCGATGAATTTCCTGATTGCACAATCGCATAAAAAATTCTATTCAATTGCAAAATAAGAGGATAAGAATATATGGGGATGGGTGCAATCCCCCTCCGCCACCCTTGATTGCGTGAAATATTTAATTGTCTCCAATGGTTCTTTATTTAAGAGTCCAATGGTTATTGATTTAACCTATAAGTTGTTTTCCCACAAAAAATTTGCGAATGAAAAATTCATAAAAATGTGTTTTATTACTTTTAGATATATCGCATACATTCATTTTGTTCTTTAATAATTATACCAATAAAGTATTAATATCTTTCGAAGACTCAACTCATCGAAAATCGCCGTATTCAACTTCGAAGTCTTAAAATTTTGCTGCGATCACTTGGAAATTGTCAAAAATTTTCTCTTGAAATTTGCAGTGCAACAAAACACTTTTTGGGAATTCTCAATCGTTTCACTGAAATTTCAAGGACTTTTGTCATTGAAAATTCATGTAAACTATATAATATATAATATATAATATATAATATATAATATATAATATATAATATATAATATATAATATATAATATATAATATATAATATATAATATATAATATATAATATATAATATATAATATATAATATATAATATATAATATATAATATATAATATATAATATATAATATATAATATATAATATATAATATATAATATATAATATATAATATATAATATATAATATATAATATATAATATATAATATATAATATATAATATATAATATATAATATATAATATATAATATATAATATATAATATATAATATATAATATATAATATATAATATATAATATATAATATATAATATATAATATATAATATATAATATATAATATATAATATATAATATATAATATATAATATATAATATATAATATATAATATATAATATATAATATATAATATATAATATATAATATATAATATATAATATATAATATATAATATATAATATATAATATATAATATATAATATATAATATATAATATATAATATATAATATATAATATATAATATATAATATATAATATATAATATATAATATATAATATATAATATATAATATATAATATATAATATATAATATATAATATATAATATATAATATATAATATATAATATATAATATATAATATATAATATATAATATATAATATATAATATATAATATATAATATATAATATATAATATATAATATATAATATATAATATATAATATATAATATATAATATATAATATATAATATATAATATATAATATATAATATATAATATATAATATATAATATATAATATATAATATATAATATATAATATATAATATATAATATATAATATATAATATAATTTTTTTCCACCAGTGAGAGTCAAAGATTTTTTTTTCTTGAAATCAGTAGGTTTTTGGTACGGAATTTTCGGGATGTTTCTCTTGAACTTAAGTAACCAATCTCTTATTCTGAGTACCATGTCCTTTACAACCACGTGTTTTTAAAATTCAGTACCTCGTTTCTGAAATCGTTTTTCTCTTCGCCTCAATCTAAAGAATCAATGAGCCCCGATATTTCCCATCCCCCGAGGTTTCAATTGTAGACGGTAAATTACAGTCGAACTGGATTACGGCAAATTACAGTGGTGTCTGTGGCTGCAGCGAGAACAGGCCGAAAACCGCGCGTATCCCGGAAAGACCGCCAGTTGTAGTGAAGAAGCACGGGGCATGAGGGGGCCGAGATACCAAAGATAGAGAGCGTTTGCACACAGTTTCCCGTATTCGTATCACCGGGGGAATGAGCGAACCACCCTCAGTACACAGCGGTGAGGGGGTTGAATACTCACCAGAGTGGATGGTGTTAATCCAACGAGCTGTTTCTCGAGGGGTTGTAGTGTCGGTGCGGCATCAGTGGCAGTCGAATGAGTATGTTGGTGGAGGGGTTGGCGCAGAGTTCTGGGGGCTCTGGGGTCTTCACTCCACCCTCGAGAGGCGGGGCGTGCCCGACGAGAAACGGCCGTAGCTCCCACCCCTATCTCTGGCCATGCCGCACTGATACGCGATATCACCGACCACTTGTTGAGCCACCGAAGAGGGAAATAGATAGAGGGATTTTTGTATTTTTCATGCGGTGATTTTCACTCCAAACTTATCACTCCATTTTTCCAACTAGTCTGATAAGAACCAGTGGTTTATCATGTCGTTATGTAATCCGATTTTTAAACTCACTTTTGTATCTAATTGAGGGGACAGAGTTGGTAATCATTTATTCTGTTAATGAAGAAAAAATTGTTGTGGAATTTCAAGAATTGTTTTGGAGGTTCAATCCATGGAGGTTCAATTTGTTGGTAGCGGTTGACAATTTATTGTTAATTCACTCTTTGAATAATTTGTAGAGTCTGACAGCTGATGATTGCATCAGCTGTCAAACTCAGCATTCAGTTTTGAGCGACTGGTCGCCGAATTTTAACAACTATTCGCCGAAATTTGACAGCAAATTTTTTTTCTGTGTGTTTAATGCCTAAATCGACATTAATTTGGATGTTTTCAAGGGATTGTAATGTAAATTTTGTTTTTGTTTAATTGCAGGCAGTGCGGTGGCTGCAGCCGACACCATTTCCTCGCCGTGGACGCCCGCGAGTTCCGGGCCGCAGCCCGACGCCAACGGCTCCGGCTCGGATACAAAGAATCTCGATGTTGGCGAAATTAGCGATGTAAGTTCATTACAAATAAAATCGTTCTCCCGAATTTTTAGAAGAGTAATTAATCTGCCTGGATTTTTTTCCTCGAAACTTGCACGTGTTTTGAATCAAAAATTTGTCTTGCACTTCTTCGATAAATTGATATTTATCGAGTTATAGTTTTAAAAAATAACTCACTTGACCCAACCTGAAAATTTTGATTTCGCATAAATTTAGAAGACAATTTTTCTTAATACACGGAGAGAAATATTCAATAGAAATTACGTATCTTTTCCGTAATTCCGGAGTGAAATGTGGTTGTAGGAAATTTTACGGAACTGTCACGGAATTTTTCCGGAGCATTCCGTAATTTTTATCTGAATCTCTTGTGAAAAATTACGATAGCGTCACTTAAATTTTCTGAGTCGATTCCGTAATCGGTGAGTGAAGTGAGAGTTCCGTAATTTTTACTGAACATTTCTCTCCGTGTAACCATCCAAGCATGCATGGAATAAATCAACAACATATTCAATTTTCCTTGAAGTTTGAAAAAAAAGTCTTTCGATTTGATCGAAGTATATGGAACGCCCCACCGTGGGAGACGTCTCTCGAAGATCGCGTGTCTGACCACAGACTGGCCGTATCTACTCATTAAAAATTGAGGAGTTCTACTTTAGTTCAGAATGGTTGAAACATTTGATTGTTGCTTCTGAATGGATGCATTGTAATCGTTGAAATTTTAATTTCGGATTTTTCGTGTTATATCGACCCATTATGATCCAAACAGTCTGAAAATGCAAATTATAGACCGTGTCCGTACGTATGTGCGTACGTATGTAAACAAATTTTTCTTCGCCAGTTCGCTGACGAATCGATGGACTTGAATCTTTTTTTTTCTCAAATGTAGGTATTGTTGAGCCCTAGCAATCGCAATTAATTAAAATTTAATTAATTTATTAATTCTTAAAATTTTTAAAACTTCAAATTTTTTTTTTTTACGATAACTAAAAAGAATGTTCTGAATTGATTAAATGATGGCTTAAAAAATTTGTTTGGATGTCCTTTTGCAATAATCGTTATTTTGATTTTTATGATGATTGCTTAAAATTTAGAATTTTTCATGAGTTTCCCTGAAACTGAGCTTTCTGACGGTTTTTTCAAATGTGATGTTTCAAATTCATTCAATTATACAGGATACAATGAAATGATGTGCAAAATAACCATTCGGAAGCATATTGTTAATTTATTAGCAAAAATAACTACACTGTTAGAAATTTTTTGAAATTTCACGGAAGATATTATAGTAAATAACATGAAAGTAATATTGAATCGAACTTAGAGAAAAAATAGTTATGAAATTTCAAGTTTCAAGTAGAATTCACGGAAATTCATGGATTTTCAATAGGAGTGAAACGAAAATTTCACAACTTGATTGAATTTCTAGTGGAACATGAATATTCAGAAACAAAATTACATAAATTTTCAATTTGTCCCAAAATTTTCTCAATTTTTTGAATTTTCACAAAGTAATTAAATTAAAAAATCAAGTATTTTATTGATTTCCGGATCATTTGAACAGAAAATCAATGGAATTTTCGATTCTTCAATGTTAAGATTTCCTGAAATTTCAGTGTAACTCGAACAAAATTTTTAACAATGTACTTAACAACAAAAAAAAATTCTAGCAGTGTTCAAAATGTTAAAACGATAAAATCGCACCAAATTGTCTGGCAGTCAAAAATAAAATTGTTCTTAACCAAACGCTCTGAAGTTCACCCACAACTCGTCGAAACGACTCCCCTAAAAAAATAACAAACTGCTGGAATATCCCCTCTCAAGCAAAAAACCCGCCCTCCCTCCCGACCCCCATTAAATCCATCAGCCAGCTCACTTCCTGTGAATCACATTGTCTCGTCCTTGCCCAAGGTGTCCCACATGCATTTCACCTCTCTAATATCCCCGCTAACGAACGTCCCAGGAATTCCTCGAAGGCCCCACCGACACATCCATCCACCGTTCCCCACCGATCATACGCTTCTCACGTGCAATAAACACAGCAGAACCCAATAAACACGACGAGGGAAGACCCCGTGGTTGTGGATATAAAACCGACAACCGATGAGGAAAAAAAAAGTCTATATCCAGACGAAGGTTTCCCTCGAAATTCCAGGATTCGTCCTCCAGCCCACCTCTCGCACTCTCGTATCGTCAGACGTAACCGCAGAGAACGAAAGGATTAATATCGATAAGAAGTGAGGAGACAGCGGAGGGAAGGGTCGGAGGAAGGAGAAATCCTAGCCTTCGAGGAGATCCCAGAGATTGGCACATGTTGCGAAAAACTCGACCTCTGGCTTCCCTCCTCACTTGCCTCACAAGTCGGTGCTCTTTCGTCTCTAGCGCTTCCACCTCCCCGCTTCATGGTTGAATGGCGTGCCAAGAATGTTCTCTGCTCCTTTGTTCGTCCCAAAAGCACCCAACTCACTACGGGTATGTTCCCTCTTCTATCGAACACACCTTGCGCGTTCCAGTGTTTTTAAATCCAAAGACAAAAGGCCACCCCTGCCCACCCCCCCATCCTGTCTCTCTCACTCTCACTAGTCCTCCTTTCAGTCACTACTTCACCTGAGTTTTAGGTTCACCGTAGAATCCTTATGGTATTTTATAAAGGATCCTTCAGGGGCAGAAGAGAAACAATGCCGGGGGTTGGAAAAGGTCGAAGAGTCGGGCGGGAGAATTTCAAGGAGATGTGCAATATCACTTCATTATGGAGAGAGCTTGCTTCGTAGAGATTAACGTGTTTTGTTGGGGTTTGCGGTGGCTCATCCTGGGGTTTTTTCATTATTCTAGGACGAGAAGGACCTCTCGGCGGCAGATGCGGAAGGTGTTTGGTCGCCGGATATCGAGCAGAGCTTCCAGGAGGCCCTCACTATTTATCCACCATGCGGACGACGCAAAATTATTCTCTCCGACGAGGGAAAAATGTATGGTGAGTGGCGTTAAAAATTTTGACATTTTTTTCGGAAGATATTATTTATTCCTAATTTAAGGGAAATGCTGGGAGCATTCAAGGGAATGCTGGGAGAAGTTTTATTTTGAAGGTGGTGAGATTTATTCAAGATTTGTCTTTTTGATTTAGTGATTTGGCAATATTGAATACTGTAAGGGAAATCATGGCATTGATAGAAATATTTCATCCGGAAAGTATATCAATGCGATTAATTTGGGTTTAATCACTGCTGAGATAAAAACGGATAAAAATGTCCATCGAATTTTACCCTTATATTGGAATGATTCGGATGAGTACTGGTGTTTCAGGAATTTTTATGACAACTCCGGTAAAAAAATAAAATAGGCGTGAGGCTGGTAGACATTGCAATATTTTGAGTAAAAATTTCATAAAGATATTGTAATTTTTATTAGATTATTACACAGGGTTAAAAAAATTAAAATTCAGTGAATCGATTTCGATTTCACTGAAAATTTAATACGACTCGGAATTTTTGAGGAACAGAAAGACGAGAATTCCCCTTCTTAAAATAATTTAAAGATGTGCAGTCCTAGCCCGAATGGGGTACAGTTAAGAGTAAGACGGCCCATGGTAACGCAGATAAAAATCAGAAGAGAGAAGTGGGAGAGGCAAGGCAGACGAATGGGGAGCCTATAAAACCGTAGTGGTAGTAGGAAAGAAATATGAATAAAAAAAAAACAGTCCCCTTGGCGTTGTTGAACATGCAATTGCCCTGAAGTTTGATGGGTCAATCAACAAAATATTAGCGTCTACCGAAATCGTGTACAAATCGTCGTAAAAGAGACAATACCAGCCCCCCCCCTCCCCCCTGTCTAGTGGTATTGGTGCCTGTGGTGTAGGTGGGAATAGTACCAGTAGAGCCGTCGTTATTGCACAGTACTGAGGTCAGTCTACGTGACCGCCTCGATATTGCCTCGTACATGGGAGAGAGACCGTCGTTCCACCATCACCACCTTATAACCGCCGTGGACTATCCTCTCCACCAGAGCCAAAGCAATAACGCCTCGGTCTCCAGAGCCCCCTCTTCATCCCCCTGTACATCCCATCTTCCTTCTCACTGGCATTCTGGGTCCTTTCTTCACCTCAGTCGATATAAACTTTTTTCTTTTTCATTCGTTTGAAAAATCTTTACTGGCAAGTTTGGCATTTATTTCATTAACTCCTGATGGGTTATATTGGACGATCAATTGATTTATCTCATTAACCTGTCATGGGGAGAAGATTGAACGAAAAATCCACTGATAGTAGAATTAATTGGAGACGATGAGAAGATTTTCATCATGTTATTTCATTATTAAATCATTCTGAGAATGAGGCATTTTGAGGCGGAATGTGGTTCGACCTTTCTTATGGGAAGTTTTATCAGTTATGAAGAAGAACATTCTTGACATTTTTCTTTAGAATTATTCTTTTAGAAGATAGTTTATGGAGACGTCACTTCTGACTCATTATATATCCCGATCTCATTGACTCTTGAGTCACCATATTGAACGATCGATTGGTTTGTTCTAGTCTCCTGAATGTCAAAAAATATCACAAGATACCTTTTTACGTACAATTTTTTTTATATAAAATATAAACTATCAATCGTGAAGTTTTTCAACGGAATTGCGTAAGGAAATTTTGTAAAAATTCATATATCATCAGTATTATTCAAATTATATTTTGGGACACATCAATTTTTTTCATCATATCTGCACAGAAAGTTCGAATATTCTATGACAACAAGGCCGAAAAAAAATTCCCTTAAATTGAAAAATTCACGATCGAAGAATTCCACATATTATCGAATTTCCTATTTAAAAATTTTTACTCCAAAAAAACACGAATGTAAACATACTATTGTATTGGTGTTTCCTTATCGTATTTAGCACTTTACTTGTTTCTCTCATTTCAAAGTGGCCTTGAACCGCAAAATAACCTGGAGAAATAGAAGGAATTTTAATATCAATGCAGACGGTTGGAATAATAATTCAGTTTGAAGTTTTTCTCCTTTAATGGAGAATGCAACCTTACTGAATTGACTTCAATGATCCAAAAACGACCAACTTTTCCCACAAGTTTCGCCAAAGCAGCTCGAGGCATCCAATAAATCCCTCCACAAGCCAACGTAAAAATTCAAAGCACACAGCGTGACGAGGGCTGAACCATAACGAAGGCGCAACATTGTGAGTAACAGGACAGCATATTGGAGGCTGCGCGCTTCCGTACGCAACTCTGAATGATTATAATCTCCATTTTGCCTCCACCCTTCTCATTCTGCTTTACCAAATGTTCCGGAACGTTGCTGTTCACGATGAAAGAGAGACAGACCTAAAAAAGAATATCTTTTCCACAATTTTGATATTTAAAATTGCCCAACAATTTTCACGTTCAAATGCGCGAAACAGTACGTCTCTCCCGAGGCACCTGTTAAGGTTCAAAGTACTTTCCACCACGAGAATCTCAGCGTGAATGGCCGCAGGGGAAAACGATCATTCAAATGCACGTGCTGGAGATGAAATGGGAGAGTTGCAACAGTCGTAATCTTGTTCGTAACAAAGCGAGAGTTTTTTGACATTAATAAATGCTTTGTTTCGTTAATTCAAAAATGAATTTAAACAAAAGGTTCGACCGAAAAAAATTGAAGATGATTATTGCAAATCCATTGTAAAGTTGGAGGAGGCGAGTCATGCAGATGTTGAGGTCTTTCCTGTATACACAGAGGAATGATGCTTTGGAATCGAATGAAATTTTTCAGTTGAAATTGTTTTACTCATCTCAGCAATATTTTCATTGGAAATTACTAATCTCATGTGTACAGGGTGTCCCAAAGTTGATCTGACATATCGTGAGCTCGGGGGGATTATTTGAAGACGAAAATTCTAATGAAATTCGTCTCCGGCGCTTCCTGAAAGAGTTATTCGTCAACAAAACAAAAATCCGTCGCAAATCACCCTCTTTTTGAAAACTCATGTCTCCTCTCTCACTTCGGCTGGAGGAATGGAAATTATGGCAATCGATTGAGCATTTACTACACGATGATCTGAAAAAAATTGTTTTTCCATCTTCATGTCGGGATGAGAAAACCCGTAATGAATTTCAACGCGTGTCACCGTAAAATATTCATATCTCCACTCTCATTCAGTATGAATAAATGAAATTGATTGGAATCGATTGGACATTCAATGCACTGAGAAGACACGAGGTTTTTTAGAAGCACGTCTTTACTTGCATCAACAAATTCATTGCTCGAAAATTACCAAGCGCACAATATCTGATACGAAAAAATAATCTTACCCCAAGAAATTTTACACTTACCCGAAAGATGAGGGCAAATGGTTTATATCAAGACAACGAGTTCTCAAATGAATGCAAGTGGTTATTGCATTCAAATATTTTAGAATTGAGGCTAAAAAACTATTAACTGAATTAATTCAATTTCACATGGTTTGAGAAATCTCTTTCTTGTCATCAAAAAATTATCCTCCTCTTTAGAACAAGTACAAAATTTCTTGACAAAAGTTTTTTTTTCTTAGTGCAAGATATTTTGCTCTTAAAAATTTTCAAATCACGAGTTTCTTTATATAAGTAAAGACGTACTTCTAAAACAAATTGTTTTTCTCAGTGTAGTTTCCGGGATATTCACAATGTTAAATTGTTTCTTCTGTATCGACGTCATTTTTCACGCTATCAGGATCGTTTTAGATTGTACGTAATGTTATCAATATTCTTGGAGTATACATAACTTTCATGCGAACGCCCACAAGTGATCATTTTTGCAAAAATTCAGATTTCTCAAAAAATATCTGTCGATAACGTCTGCTAAAACCGACAGACTAATCATTAAAATTCCTGACTCAAGAATATTTTCTCATCATCACATGGATTCATACCCATCTCCTCTTACGATCCAATCATCAAGCCAAGTTTTCTCATATTTACTTACAATTTATTGAAAAATTGCGAACTAATACATCCATATGTTCATTCTATCCCTGACCTCGAGGGCAGTGCAATCTTCCGGTCGGCAGGACTTTGTCCTCGGGGCTGGTTCGCCGAGCTCCCGGTTTTGTGACGCAGTAGAAGGACAATGGGATGTGGGTGGGCAGTGTGTCCAGTTATTGACCGAGGAAGACACTCCAGCGCATCCCTGGAGCCTCTCCACTCCCACGAAACACTTGCAGCATGGAACAACCTCGCTCCAGTTAAAATCTTTTTCGTCCACTCTTATCAATCATGAGTAGTTGATGACACTTCCCATTTCGCCACTTCCCATGAGTAGTCCAGCCTGATTGGTGGTCTCTGCATGTCCGGCTGACACACGAGGGCAGTCGAGGATATTCTCGAGGCACTGGTGAAGCATAGAATACGGATAACAACGGGACTGAGATGGCTGTGTAATAATCTGCGACCGCATTGTCCGTCTTGGCAGGTTCCTCCCTCTATATGGCCACCGGCTGCGAAGTCCTTTGACATCTATGCTGGATTTAATTAAATTCAGGGGCATAATAGGCAGTCACAAGACGCTAGGAGATGCGGCTTTATTTCCGGCTTCCTTTGTTTTTAATTATTTTAATTAAATCGGACTTGGAAAAATGTTCAGGGCAACATTCTGACTTTTAACATTCCTGATCATTGACTTTTCTCATAAATGCAGCGAGAATTTTGTTTTATTCAATTGAGTTGAAATAAACCGGTGGCCTGGCGTAGTGGTTAAGGCCGTTGCCTCACAACGGATAGGTTCCAGGTTCGATTCCTGGCCGGGTAGAATGGTGAGATCTAACCATTTTTAAAGTCTTGATCAATCGCCATATAGTCTCATCAGACTCGAAGCGATATAAAATAAGCATTAAAAAAAAAAAAAAAAAATTGAGTTGAAATTCAACTCGTCAAGATTGTCATGTGCTCAGACACATTTTTATTCACTTTCGAAGGTTCTATTCAAGTAGAATTTTACATGGTTTTTTAGTATTATT